GCGGATCTTGAGCTAGACGCCGAGGGACTTGGAGCAGAGGACGGCGGCGCTTACGTGGGCCGCAGCCAGGGGCGGAGCCACCCTAAGGCTAGGGTGGGCTCCAGCCCCATGTAATTTTTTGGTACCCTTTATTTTTTAAAAAATTTTATACATTGACTCATTAGCCCCGTGTAATTTTGTATATAGCCCATTTAATTTAGGGTTGAATGCTTCAAAGAATATCTCCAGGTTAAAATTTTTTATTTGACAACAATGGTGGAAAAATGATGATTGTAGTGAGGAAAAAAGATAACCCTTTATTATCAAATGACAATTGTGACCTTATTAGATTTTATCAATTGAGTTTATAATGTAGCGCAACACACTCTTGTTTTTTAAATTTTTAGTTGACTTGATAAATATTAAATGAGCTGGATTATTAAGCTTGACACAGACTTTTCCAATGGGATATTTAATTGGGTTTGTCTCATTCCACAGTCTGTTATCCATTTTTATTTATTTATTTATTTATTTATTTGTTGGTTTCGCCTCCAATAATTAATTCCACATCATTTCCTAGATAATGAGAAAATTCGTACAGAGTTGATTGCAAATATGTTCGACTCTATTTGTTCGATCGACAAGTTCGATTAGCTATTTCAGTTTGGCTTGTTTAAATATATAAACGATTCGAGATTGAGTTTTTCCAATTCAAACCAACATATGTTTACCCATAATTTGTTTCTAATCATAACCAAAACCGGTTACAGGTCGAAACCGTCGATACCGGGCAGAGAGTTGGAGGATTCTGAACCGGCGCGAACATATGTACGTGCCGGTTCATTGAACTGTTAGTTATTGGTTGTCCGGTTCTTTAAAAAAATTAAAATAATATTTTTTTAGTAAAAAAACTGAACCTCGGATTCCGGTTCCAGTTCGAAAACTGAAATCGCATGTTCAAAATGTATAAATTATAAAATATTGTACATGAACGGAAGTGGTCAAAATCACGGGCCGGTTCAAGATCCATGGTCAACGGGCCGGTTTGTGTCGTTTCGGGCCAAACCGACAGGCTGGGTCGACCCATGACCATGTCTACAAGGCTCCAATAATAACTACAATAACATGCAGCCCCGGGTTAAAAAATTTTCTGGCTACGCCCCTGACCGCGGCGGTGGGGGCGATGGCGGTGTTGGGCTGGCGAGTGGAGGGGCGGTCAAACTGGCGGTTGCGGATGTAGAATTTGAGGGCGGTCGTGAAATTGGGGGTTTGTGAGCCGTAGAGGATTTTGGAGATTTGGGCCTTTGGGATGTTGTGGTCGGCGAAGCACCGGAAAAAGGAGTCGTTGATGGGGTCGCCAACGCCGGAGGCGGCGACGGAAGTTGAGGCATTTAGGAAGGAGAGGAAAACAAAGATGAAAATGTAATTTATCATTTGTATTTCTTTTTTATTGTTAATAGTTTTTATTTATTTATACATTATTAGTGGTTCTAAATGAGAGGTTAAGAGCATGATTGGATACAAAATTTCTCAAAAAATTTAAAAAGTTTTTAACTCAACCACATTTTTTAACTCAACTTTCACTCAACCCCACTATCATCAATATTATCAATATAATTAAATAATATCAACCAATCATTCTTACACACCACATCACCTTAATTCACTATTCATCCACTCACATAATTTTAACTAACCATCACTTCAAATCTCTTCTCTCCTACTTTACATCAAATCAACTTTAATCATTTTATTTTAAATATTATTTTAATATATCTACTAACAATTAATCATACCAACTTTTTCAAAACTAACCAAACCAAACAAAAAAATTCAAACAAAACCAAAATTTTTTATATCCAATCATCCTCTGTGATAAATTTGGAAAAATATCATTCGAAATTTATATTTTGACTGGTGAAAGGTTTAGTACTAAATATGAAAAGTGGGGATTTGAATTGAGATTTTGGACTGGATTAAAAGGGATGTGAGAGGGGAACAGATTAGGTAAATTTGATTTGTTAATTGCAAATTGACACAATGATTGGAGTAAGTAAACCCTCAACGTAATATAAAAAATAAATACGAATAAACAGTTAGTGAATGTGGCGGTTGCCAGAGATTTTCTGCCGTGAATAATGTGGTAAACTTTGCATGAATTAGAAGAAAATGATAGGTTACTGTTACGAAACTATTCTGTCGAGATTCATAATCGTTAGATTAAATATAGGTTACATGATGATCTAATGATTACAAATCTCGATGAAATAGTTTCGTAACAGGACTATAGCATCTCCCTGGTTTTATTTTAATTTCATGATTTTTTTTTTTAAATCAAGTTTTGGTGTAATGTATAAGTTTTTGTAATTTCATGTATCAAGTTTTGGTGCTTCATGATTTTATTCATTAGTTATGAATTTTGGTGTTTAAGCTATATGCTTGCAACTTATTTTTTTTGGTACTCTTTCGTTGTTTCTTGTTTGGGGAAAATGCTACAGTTCCGTCACGTAATCGTTCCGTCAGGATTTGTAACCGTTAGATCAACTATCCCCGACGGTTGCATGATGATCTAACAGTTACAAATCTCGACGGAATGGTTCTGTAACGGGACCATA